CTCTCTCTGTAAGCCCTTCCCATCTCTCTCTGTAAGCTCTCTCCATCTCTCTGTCTGAAAGCTCTCTCTAGCTCTCTCTCCATAAGCCCTCTCCATCACTCTCGCAGTAAGCTCTATCTCCCCTTTCCATCCTGCTATGCCTGGCCTCTCTGTTATCCTGTCTTCAGCTTTAGAAAAAAATAGTTCAGACCCTTAAGCCTAGCAAATATTTATAATTTAAAAGATTTTCACAAGGGCCCTACGAGCTTTTAATTTGCTATGAATTGTGGTGAGTGGAAATGAGGAAATGGGAAACTATTTGAATTCACAGATCTGTATCTCAGTGATTAATAGCAACTGATTACTAGTAACAATGAGACCTTTACCAAATCACGTTTTTATCTCTCAGTTTACCTTACTGTTTGAATATGTTGTTTAGCTAATTTTTAAATTAGACATGGTCAATATTTTTCTTAGGTAATTATAATATATGTAGTCCTGACTAAGAATTTTATCCTGTTTTCATTTTTGTCAATTGAATCCCATTCAACTGTCTTCCTTCCCAAGGTGAGAGAATAACACAAGGGCCTTTGAAGTCCTTTCATCACATCTTCTGAAGTCTTCTGAATGTGACTATGATTTATCTCAGCATAGAGCACGCACTTGACAATATAATTATGTAGCAATTATTTGCTCTATTTAATGGTATCTTTGATTTTCATATAAATACACCTAGAGAGGGAGCCAGCTGGAAAGTCACCACAGTGATTTTTCAGCCCATTACGCCAGCGTTCACTCTGTGACGACAAGGTGCTTCCATCAGAGGTTCTTCAGTCCAAAGTATCCTGGTGTCTGCACAAGCTCTGCTTCCTGGACAGCCTTCTCCCTGTGCCCTGCATGGAAGGAGCAAGGCGGCTCCCTGAGGTCTCTTTTAGAGGGACACTAATCTCATTCATGAAGGCCCCACCCTCATGACCTAATCACCTCCTGCGTCCCCACCTCTTGATACATTGCATGAGGGATTAGGTTTCAACATATAAATCTGAGGAGACAAACATTGAGACTACAACAGAGGGAAACCAGTTGGGAGGCTGATGCAGTTATCAGGACAAAGTTATCAGTGGCGGTTTTGCTCATGGCGGTGGCAGTAGAAATGGAAGCTTTTGTATTCAGATTGTATATTGGCAGTACTGTCAATGGGACTTAATTTTGGACTGGAATCTGCTTATGATAGAAAAGTCAAAAGCAAGACTGAGCATCAGTTTTTGTATCTAATTGGGTAGATAGGAAAGAATTGTGGAGGGGATTTCTGCAGTGCAGGAGAAAGTCAGGGCTTCTGCCTCAGTCACTCATGTTAAGACGCCTGTGAGACGTCTAAGTAGACATTAGGTGGGTGGTGACGTGAGTCCAGAACTCTTCAGAGGGGCTGGGCTGGAGATGGATTAGATTACCTGGAAGGGCATTCAGACACAGAGGGGAGGGCAGCCACAAATGGACTCCTGAGCCAGTGTCTAGTGACCACACGGGGGAGGAGTCAGTGGGAGGGAGGAACGTGCTGAGGCTCGTTAGTCTGAGCAAGGTGGTTGTTGTTAGTGCTTTGTCTCAAAAGCTTCTAGAAGAAACTGTTTCAAAAGGCAGGGGGAATCTATCCTGTCAAATGCTGCTAGGAGGCAGAGAAATGAAGGGAGAAAATGAGCTATTTGGCAAGGTATGTAGGCCATTGGCCAGGTGAGGAGAGGTTCAAAGAAGGCAAGTTATAGTCATAGACGATAAATAACCCAGACCCAGAGGGGCAAGGGGAGTGTTTAGGCCCTGGACTCATCCCTAGGAGATCTCACCGGGAGGATCAATGATCCTTTTGGTGGGTTATTAGGGTGAAAAACTCTAGGAGCAAAATTCAGTTTTACAAGTAGAGCAGAGACTGTGTAACCAGACAGCCCGGAGCAAATCCTGTGAGTGAGTAACTGGGGTTTGTTGGGCCCGTGGAGCGTGCTGTGTCCCTGCCCCAGGGCAGCATGAGATGCTCGTGTGGCTTCTCACATGCACAGTTACTGTGCTGGTTGGCTGAGCCTCTGGCCCTTCTGGCATGAGCCCTCCAGGTGTCCTCCATGAGACAGACCCCGCCAAGGCTGTGCCATCCAAGAGGGTGGCATCATTCTTTGAGCCAGGGAGGCATAGAAAAGGAAATAAGGCACAAATCAGTAACCACAGTACAAGGCAGAAAGCAGAATGTGGAACCTGAGTGGGGCCTGCAGGGACACGGAGGAGGGCTGGCGAGGAGGGCTCAGACGGAGGAGGGCTGGCGAGGAGGGCTCAGACGGAGGAGGGCTGGCGAGGAGGACTCAGGTGCAAAGTGGCATCACTAACACAAGCCTGGGGCTGATAAAAGGCTGCAGCTGTGAGGTGGGAAAGGCAGGGCTGAGTGGAATCACAGAAAGCCTGAATATTGGGGTGAGGAGCTCAGGTTCTGCTTAACAAGATCCCAGGAAGGTTTGTGATGGAAAAGGTGACTGATGGTCAGAATGATAAAAGCACCCAGAAACTACAGCCACGCCCTCAGCTTAGAGACTGCTGCAAGATGCCAGGTGAGATTAGCAAAGTGCTATAAGGAAAAAGATGCATCAGAGACTTTTTGAGAGAACAGATTCTCTTTTTTTCTTTTATTCCTAGTATTCTGGAGATTTAGAACCAAAAAAAATGTTGTTTTTATTCATCTTCCCCAACAAAAATAACTTCATTTGAAAGAAAAAAGGGGCAAATATCCCCTATCCCCTATTTTTTTAATAAAAAACTAAATTTTTCTCTCCAGCCCCCCTTGTTACTCTGGCCATATTCCTAAGGTGCTACAGGCTTGGTGCCATGATAATTGACCTTCAAATTCTGTAAAACGGAACAACCAGAAAATATTATGCTTTAAATCTCTGCTCACACCCTAATGCCATTTATATGAACTTATAAAGGAAGAGATTATTCACATCTGACCACAATTTCCAGAGCCTGAAGGATGTTTGAAGGGTATTATGTCACATTTAATCAACACTTCAAGTCAGTGCTTGATTTTAGCTGCCTGGAAACATGAAGTTGTATACTCCTTGCCGGGGCAGGGCTCAGCTACTTTAGTTGAGGTTTTGCAATAGAAGGAATATGACCCCTTGCACAGAATCATACAAATGCACAGAATCTTATTTCTTTGCTAGAAATATATCAAAAACAGACTTGCCAAAGATCTGATTCTGCTTTGCATTGAATCACTGTTTCTGTAGTATTTCAATTTACATAATACATTTTTTCTCTTTTTTGTTACTTAAATGTTGCTTAAAAACTCTCCAAAACATTGCTATACACTAGAGCTGCAACAAAATATTCCACTTAAATCAGAAACTAATTTTTGAGTGGGTCACAGGAACAAATCGTTAACATCACTCTGACATTTAGGGTATCTCCCAACCATCCTGCCAAGGACAGAGATGACCACGATGGCTCAGCAGTACCCAGCGTGGATCTTTGTCAACGAGAGGACGTTCATAACCAGGTAACCACACCCCTGATCCTGTATGATCCTGCTCCCCATCCGTTTGTGAGATATGCCATTCAGAGTTGCTAAGCACGATATATGATCAACAAGATCAATAATGTGTCCCAGTTGAAAAACAAGATAAGAAATTGAAAAAGGATGTTCCTGAAGACTTTTAGACCATACCGCCTCATGGCCAATCACTCACATTTCATGAACAGTGATTTAATTGTCTTAAAAGCTACATTTCCATCTTATAGTCAGCATAATTCTGAAGAGCAGCACTGAGTGAAAGGTCTATGGTTCCTCATAAATAATATGCGTAAAGAATTAGTCCAGGGCCCAAAAACAGCACGTCCTTCCCGCCTCTCCCTCCCTTGCTCCTCTCCTCTATTTTTACAGAGTTCCCCTTGGTACAATGTCCACGACAGCCTTCTTAGGCCTGGCAGGCAGTATCTTACGTTTCTTTGGCAATGACAGGGTAGGGGCTTAAAGACTGTAAGAGCAAAGTGAATGCTGGGCCTGCTGAGGAGGGGAAAGACAAATCACAAAAAAACAAGTGGCTCTGAAACGTGACCCAGGTCTTACAGGAGGTGGGAAAAGAAATGAGGCCAATTAAGGAACACAGGGAAGTGGAGGGTGAATGATGCAGGGCTGGGAAGCAGGAAAGCAGAGGGAGCAAATATGGCTAAAGGGAAAACTACAACCCCAGCTGGAGGAGCGGATGAGATATGAGGGGCGTGAACTGAAGGCTGGAGGACTCGTCCATTCACTCTCAGTCCTGCCGACTGTCACCGTGAGCAGGCTTTCCTCTGGGCACTGAGCGTTCAGCTGGGAACCCAACGAAAGCTTTTACTCTCATGGGGCTACATCCTAAAAGGGGGGACACAGTCAATATGTAAAATAAATGCTAAGAGGAGTGAAGACTAAGAAGAAAGGAGGAAGTGCACAAAAGAGGGCGGGGGTAGAGCGTGGGGGGCTTCTGACTGCAAGGAAATGGCCAGGGAAGTCCTCAGGAGAGTGAGTGTGCCCTGTGGGGTGGGAACTGGGGCCCGCTGGGGAAGCCGGACAGCAAGTCCACAGCCCTGAGGCAGGTGCACATCTCTGAGGGTCTGGGAGGCCAGGGTAGGGAAACCGAGGCAGAAATACACCAGGAGAAGGTGAGGCCAGGAGGGTTTCATAGCCCATGATAAGCTTGGTCTTTCCCACTAAATGAGAAGCCATGGAGGGTTAGTGAGCACGTGAGTGACAACACCTATCTGGCCACTTTGTTAAAAAGAGATTGAAGAAAGAATAAGGGTAAAAGCAGAGAAACTGCCAAGGAGCTGACAGTCCAGAGTAGAGATGATGGTGACAAGACCAAGATGACGCCCCTGGAGGAGGAAACAAAATGGTCAGATTCTGTATATATTTCAAAGGAAGAGGCAACAAGATTTTAAGATGATTTCAACAAGATGAGAGAAAAAGGATAAGCAGTGATAATTCTAAGTATTTTTGTCTATGGGGTTAACCCAAATATTCGACACAATTCTAAGAAATAAAAAGAAATGTGGAGGCATTATATCCCCAGAGTTCAGGTTATACTACAAGTCTACGGTGATCAAAACAGCAGGGTAATGGCATAAAAATAGAGACTTAGATGTATGGAGAACAGGGAATCTAGAGAGGAAAGCTGTTGGGGGTGAGGAATCCAGTTCCTTGAACCCAGTTGACCAGATTCAATTATTCGGCTGAGCTATAAAGTTCAACTGAGGCACAGTGGAAATTGTAAGCAAAAATGAATGGAAACAAAATAAACTGGAGCAGCACAGGCAGCATGAATAGAGAGCAAGTCTCAGTGTAACAAAGAGAACTTGTACTTAAGAACAAAGAGATAGTTTAGAGCACTTCCAAAGAGAGTTGGAAGTGGGTCCCTATCATGGAGAAGTGGTGACAGAGATGGAGACTGGAGAGCAAAGTTGGTACAAAGAAACAAACAAACACCCTCTTCCCTCTGAAATTGGCTGCAAGTCTTTCATTGGCCTCGCTGCACCTCCAGGCAGTATTGCCCTTTTCTATTGGTCATTGATTGTTGTCTCTTACTATTGGTCATTGGTTAGTAGGTTACCCCACACCCACATTCTCATGGGCCCTCCAGACTTCCTGGTTCAACAGGCCAGGCTTTCCTCCCATCCCCTGGAAGCCCCTTTTTTGTGTCCCTTTTCAAAACCAGTCTGGTATCACCATCTGATCTTTGATAAACCAAACACTGGGGAAAGAATCCCTATTTAATAAGTGGTACTGGGAGAACTGGTTAGCCCCATGTAAGAGACTGGGAGACTGGACTACACTTCCCACAACTTACAGAAATTAACTCATGGAGGATATAAAATTTAAACCTAAGACATGAAACTATGAAAACTCCAAAAGCAAGAGTGAAGAAGACCCCAAAGGCAACAGCAGCAACAACAAAAATAAATAAGAGGGACCTGATCAAGTTAAAACGTTTCTGCACAGCTTAGGATGCAATCAGCAAAGCAAAGAGATACCTTCAGAAAAGGAGGAGAAATTTGCATGCTATGAATCTAACAGAGGGCTAATAACTAGAATCTATGAAAAACTCAGCAGAGTCAATAAGGAAAGAGCAAACTTGGCTCAGCACCTGTTAGCTCAGAGGCCAGAGCCCCGGCCACATACACCAGAGCTCACAGGTTCAAACCCAGTCCAGGCCTGCCAAACAACAATGACAATTATAACCAAAACATAGTTGGGCATTTTGGCCGGCGCTTGTAGTCCCAGCTCCTTGGGAGGCTGAGGCAAGACAATCGCTTAAGCCCAAGAGTTGAAGATTGTTGTGATCTGTGATGCCACGACATTCTAACGAGGGTGACATAATGAGACTCTGTCTCAAAAAAAAAAAAAAAAAAAACTGGGCAAAAGACATGAACACAATCTTTTCTCATAAGGACAGATGAATGGCCAACACACTCATGAAAATATGCTTATTATCTCTAATTAGAGTAATGCAAATCAAAACACTTCGAGATATCACCTACCCCAGCGAGAACGGCCCACATCACAAAGTCCCAGAGCAACAGATGGCTAGTGTGGGTGCGGATGAAGGGAACACTCCCACACTGTGGGTGGAACTGCAAACTAATACAGCCTCTGTGGAAAGAAGTATGGACAGTCCTCAAAGAAGTAGAAAGAAGTATGGACAGTCCTCAAAGAACTAAAAGTAGACCTTTGCATTTGCTCCTGCAATCCCATTACTAGGTAGCTACCAAAAGAAAAAAGTCATTTTACCATAAGGAGGCATGCACACAAAGGTTTATAGTAGCCAAATTTATAACTGCAAAGGTATGGTAACAACCCTAATACCCTTCAACACATGAATGGATTAACAGATTTTGGTGTATGTACATCCTGGAATACTATTACCATAAAAAGAAATGGAAATTTTGTATCCTTTGTTACAACTTGGATGGATTTGAAGAACACTTTCTCAAGTGTGGCAAGAATGGAAAAACAAGCACCACACTTACTCAGTACTAATTTGAAACTCGTAGATTCACAACAACATGGTCACGTGAGAGAAAAGCTCAATTAAATTCTAGAAGCAGGGAGGGGAGGAGGGAGGTTGGTGGGTTGCTACTCTGCGGGACAGTGTGCAGGCACGTGGCACACGTCCCAGGGAAGGACACAACTACACATGGACTTTGCCTTACAAAAACAGACAATGCAACCTAATTGCATATGCCCTCATACTAATCTGAAATTTAAAAATATACCTTTAAGAAAAAGAAAAATAGGGTTAGCATTTTCTGAAATTATGAAGAAGAGCAGGTTTGCAGTAGAAGTTCAGGAGTTCAGTCCCAGACATTACATTTGACATGAATGAGAAGCATTTCTCAAAAATGTGGTCTAGGGACCACCTGCTTCTGAACCAGGTGTTTGCTCTTGGTACCGACCCTGGGCTACACCCCAGACTTAATCAGGTGATTCTGATGCATACTGAAGTCTGTGAACCACTGCTGGGAGGAGGAAAGGATTAAATTCTGAGAACATCTGACCTCCTGACATAAACAAAATTCCTGGAGCTAGAGGAAATCTCCATCAGACTGTCACTAGAAATTATAACAACGCCACTGACTGACCAACCATGATATCCAACATTCCACAAACCTGGCAAACACCCCCCACGCATTTATTCACTTGACAAGTAGTATTTCAATTTTCTCTCTGCACTAGGCATTATTGTGGTGAACAAGATAGAAATTATTAATTTATTAAGAAATTTTTATTTTCCTGTGCCAAAATTTGTGAAAATAATGGAGGTTAATAATAAAATAGGATCTGTGTAATTAAAATATTGGTTTCAGCAAATATGAGAATTACATAGGATCAAAAAATAAGAGGTTTCAATATTAATAGCACACAACAGTTGTATCTTGCTACTTCTCTGAGTTTAGAAACGTCCCGGACCAAAGGGTGTTGGCACAGGTGAGCGTCACACTCAGATGACGCAGGTCCCAGTTGCTATTTTACTGCCTGGAGTCATATTCTAAGTGAGCTGAGTCAAAAAAAAAAAAGAAAAAGTTTCCTTATGGTTGCTTTCAAAGTACTTTCAGGTCATAAGCTGAAATCAGGGCACTTTAGAGGTGAATAAATGCTAACCCTTATTTAAAACAATGAAGTTCAAATCCACATGTAGAATAGAGATCAGATTTCACTCTCCGAACTTGTTAGACTTTTTCTGCTACTTGGGGACCTCCCATAAACCCTTGCAGGCTGTGACTCTTCTATCAGTACCCCAACAGGCACATGTAGGTTCCTGTCCTTAGTAAATGAATTTAATTAGCATGATGTCATAAATTTTACCAGAAAGCAGTTTTTTTCTTCCCCAGCATGTTCACTGGCACCTTTCACTGAAACAAAGGAGCTGGCCACCTGCACCACTAAGCACAGATTAAACACAAAGAGCCAGTGTTCAGAGGCTGCCTGTCCCTGGCTGGTGGTCGTCCCATGACCAAAGGGGT